TTGATAAAGAGTCCTAATTTCAATCGTACAACTACTTTACTACTCACAGCATAATAATAATAATCTTTATTTACGAAAAAAGACATTACATAAGCATAGATAGAGGAAATCATCTTTATTTTTCTTTCGTTCCTTTCGAATCAGGCTAGATCATAACAGAACAAATATATAGCATCTGGGATCATTACATTTATAAAAAAATCAAGCTTTACGTACATACAAATCTGATTTATAGTATTCTGTTTTTAGTGGCCTTGTATTTAGGTTGCCAGTTATGAGTAATAATAATTTCTGTTTTCTAGATTGCGTGTTTGTAACATTAAAGTAGTGTTTAATTTTTTTGGACTGGTTATATTACGAAGTTCCAATGTAATTTTTTTTTTTAATTGGAATTTGTATGTTAAAATTTAATCTACACTCGGTTAATCTTAGAACATCAGCTTCGAAGGATAACGCTGATAAAGTCAGTTGTAGATCATCATAGTTGTCTTAAATACTTCTAATGTTTTGCGTTAAGACAGCGAAATTATCAGAATAATGTAAAGTATTTTTTGAATCTCCAATATTATACATTACCGATTTTGAAATTGCAGCATTGTGCAATAAGTCTTATTCAATTAGGTTTCTATTAATTTTATTTTGATTTTTATTGTTAAATGGTCATTAGGTAGTACGTATATAGAAATATTTTTAATTAAATATTAGTATATTATATTTTAAAATATGGCAAGGGCTCAAAATCATAAAATATATGTGGAGGTCCACACCAAAACGTAACATTTAACATGTAGTTCCGAAAATAAGTTGAGTATGCAGATCGGTTCGAATTCCTGAATTATATCGAAAACTCCATTGAAGTTGCATCATAACGCGTTCAATTTCGTACCATAGCGCTATGAAATCAACAAGCTGCACCAAAACGTAACAATTTTATACGCTTAAGAAGATTGTTCCCTCTGAATTTAGGTTTTTTATAATAAAATAAATAATATATGTATATTTCTCTTTTTATAATAAAATACATTATTTAAAATGTCTTTTTTATTCATACCAAAAAGTGACATTTGTTAGTACATCACAATAATAAAGTAACATTTTACAATGATCTCACCAAAACGCTACATTTATAAATTAGTTGCACCAAAACATAACATTTATTTTATAAATAATTCTCATGATTATAAAAGTATAAATATTCACATGATGATTGACCCAAATTAATCTATGCATTAATATTTTTTTTTCCAATAGTGAGTATAGAGATTGCTTTGAGCATTGATGACTTATTCGTTTTTCTCAAATTGTGTAAAATCATTTAAGATGTAAATGTAACGTTTTGATGTGGACCTCCACATATTTATAAGAGCTATTGAATTCATGACGGTATGGTATAAAAGAATTGAAAGTGTAAGTGTGAAGTGTATAAATAGTTAATTCGATATTTAGAGCAAGTTATATATAGCTAACTCAAAAAGGTTTGTTTCGTGTGCCCGTTATATAAAATTGTTTTGCACCGGGTAAAAAAACAATATTGATAACCCTGACTTTACATCACAAACAAACTGTAATAAAAACTTTAGAGTATAATAAAGATTTTTACTTACAAATAACAAAAATATTAATATAAAATTAGCAATAGCTATCATTTATTTGGCAATTGGTGGACTTGAGATATATAAGTTATTTGTTAACCCGTGAATTGCCGTCCTTTCTTACGAAAATCCTACCTATTGAGATCCAGCAGTATTTATATTTCCTAGTTCTGACTAAGTCTCGGGCGAGGAAGAAAATACGCGCTGCTTTAGGGGTCAGTTGTTTATAAGGTTCCTGTAACCAAACCGGAAAATAGAAATTAGGTATGTAGATGGAAAATGTTTTGGTGTAGACGGATACTGACGCCGACCCGTCTAATGACACCGCGGTACGTGCCAGTGATTTATGGTGTCTCCGACTTTTCTTTTATCCCTGATAATTCGTTAGCATTCTGCTATTGTTTTTTTTTCTTTTCAATGCCATAACTTTCAATTAAGATTTGTTAAGCCATGGCAATGATAAAAATCATGAAGAAGTAAATGCTTACATATACATAACTAGCTGTTACCCGCGGCTACGCTCGCGTGGTTTTCCTATTTGAGGCTATCATCCTCTTTTGACATAGTGAGTAAAAAAGTAGCTTATAGCAACCCAAAGCTTCAACCTATTAGTGCAGTCATTGAAGCGAAAAATACGGTCTTACCTCCGAATTTTTTTACTGTGAACCGTTTTGCATGAAATTTTGGAATTAGGCTCACCTTACCCTTAACTTCAAAAGTGAAAATGATCTGAACTCCGCCTATTATTTTTAAGGGGTGTAAACAACCCCTTAATGGAAAAATTGACATTGAGCCATTTCAGCAGGTAAGCAACAGCAAGCAGTAGGTACCTACCTACCTTGATTGATTTTAAAGAAATACGATTTACCAAGGTACCATATCTGATTTTGTTTTCCTTTCTGATTTGGTTTTGTTGTGCATTAAATGAATTAGGTAGGTATTTTGGTAGTTTCTTCGAATGTATAAAATTGACTCACTGATAAAAATTATGGAAAAACACATAACATCGTGTACAGTAGCGTACTTAAATAGTACTGCTATGTGTTTAAAATAATTAAACCCTTTATTCTAATAATACTAATGCTTTGCCATTTTGAAGTTTTATTACGTACTATCCATAGTAGTATTAGGTATTATTATGAGAGTGTTTGTTTTGTTTATCCTTCCTCGAAGCCTAAACCACTTTGGAAGTATATATATAGTGCAGTCATTGAAGCATTATTACTCCGAATTTTTTTACTGTGAACCGAATTGCATACAATTTTGGAATTAGGTTCATCTTACCCTTAACTTCAAAAGTGAAAATGATGGTTGCCACCCCTTCTGGGGGGTGATTTTTTTTTTCAAAATAAGTATTGTAATAAATTTTAAGCAAAAAATCTTCTATAAAGTTTTTCAAAAAATCCAATACTTTTCAAGTTATTGGCAATTGAAAATTCTAAATTTTTTCCCGTTTTTCATCGGTTTTTTGCAAATATCTCCAAAAATGTAAGTTTTATCGAAAATTTTATTAAAAACAATAAATATAAAGAAGTAATGTTCATGAATAGCGCCATCCGAAAAACCTCAGATTTTTAGTGCAAGTAAACTCGACTCGGGTAGCGACATCTCTTCAGTTTCACACGCAACAGCTTGGTTTTCGAATTGTTATTCGAGTTGGTAGCGCCTACCTCTACTCAACATCCAGGATCATCTCCACTTGAAAATTATTGGATAATACTCGAGTAAGGGACTAAAATAAATCATAACAGCTGTTTATTTAATATCTGTCTACTGTAAACAGCTGATTATTTAATATCTATTTGATGTTTATAAGATTTTCTGGTAAGATATTAGGACACTGAAGGAAGTCGTTTTTTTTTTACTTATATTGTTTTAATTAAAATATCTACCTACATGACGTTAAAATTAACAATAAATATTAAAAAGTCATGTTCATAAATAGCGCGATCTGAAAAAACGCAATATCACAACTCACATTTTTAGCAATTAAAAATTCTCGATATTAAAGACGGGTGGTGCCATCTGATAAGTTACTCAGAAAATATTATTTCAAGAGAGACTACTCGGTTGAGTTGGTATTCGAGATGGTAGCGCCATCTCTATCTATAATCACTCGAAAATGATATTTTTATATTATAAATTTGGAGTAGTGTTTGCTAGATTTTAATTTTAAAAATAAGATTAGAAAGAAATTGCGTAAAATTACCTCGATTTAATAAATGAAACACTAACACAAAATACTCGGTATTGAACACGAGTGGTGCCATCTCGTATTATTATGTTAAGATAGCAACTTCCACCTTTCAAATTTAATCTGTCTTCGTGACAGTAGCGCCATCTCTATCGGGACCAACCATGAAAATGATTAATTTAGTTGAAAATTATGTAAATCCTTATCCTTACTAATATTATAAAGGCGAAAGTTTGTTTGGATGGATGTATGGATGGATGTTTGTTCCTCTTTCACGCAAAAACTACTAAACGGATTTTAATGAAACTTTACAGTAATGTAGCTTATAGATCAGAATAACACATAGGCTATAATTTATAAAGATATTGTGTGAATTGTCCAAAATATAACGATAAATGTCATTTAAGTCTGAAAAAATTTTGCAATCTGCGAGCTATTCAGGCGTGTGCTGCAAAAACAGTTAGTGCTACATGTATATAATGTATGGTGAAAATATTTATCTTAAATAGTCCTACAAAAAATTCTGCGACACCATATATATCTATCTTTTATGAGTAATATAATATAAAACTCAAAGGTGACTGACTGACATAGTGATCTATCAACGCACAGCCCAAACCACTGGACGGATCAGGCTGAAATTTGGCATGCAGGTAGATGCTATGACGTAGGCATCCGCTAAGAAAGGATTTTGATCAATTCTACCCCCAAAGGGATAAAATAGGGAATGAAAGTTTGTATGAAACTTTGTCAATTTTAAACCGATCGGGCTGAGACTTTGCATGCAGGTATAAGAAGAATCATAGATGAATGTCATTGTGTTTAATACAAGCCTGAGAACAAAAACTGTAGTCTACACTTCAGCTCTACACCGAAGCGAAGCGAGGGCGGGTCGCTAGTTCGAATATATAAATTTAAAAAAAGTAGCCTATAGCAGGCTCATAAGTTCAAGCTATACATTTACCAAATTTCAACACAATCGGTTCAGCGGTTTAGGCGTGAAGAGAAGACAAACAAACAAACACACTTTCCCATTTATAATATTAGTATGGATATTCGTTTCTGAGAAAGCAAGTAATTATGTTCATTAATATTATATGTAATTATATTCAACTGACTTGAATCGAAGTATAGATATACGAAAGTTATGCAATACCAACGATTGCTTCGTGGTTCAGATGTGAATAATCATTTTTGGTTTCATTTGATTTCAGGTATAGCACTACGACCTTTTGGCCTATCCTTGATATACCTGCTCCTCTACTTATTAGCACCATTACTCACGGTACCGGACACACAGACGTTCAGCGGTAAGAAAATGTGCTATCTAATGAATGTAAATAGCGTGTCAATACTATTTTTAAGTCAGTACTTCAAGCAGCACAGAAATATCGCGTTTGTTATAACACAGAAATAAACTTCTGTTGTATTGAGGTCGTACTCCTTATCACTACTGCGGTGCAAGAAGAACATGTTGATTTAAAGTTAAAGTTCATCAGATGATGATATTTTACAATGGAAAAAATTGTAACAGCTGATTTATTGTAACTCGTAGTTACAGGAATATCGAGTCTAGTGATTTTAACGTATAATAGCTAAGACACCAACTAGTCAGATTATCTAATGATCAGGTTTCAGCACCTGTTTTCGAAACCTATACACAGTTAGAGAATGTAACACCTACTGGGAATTGTAAAAAATATTACACAAACTTCTATGTATAAATTCTATCATGTCAAAATTCACACGGTAAAGGTTTGTGTGCAAATTTCAATAGAGACTTGCCTTATGTGAGGGTCAAACGTTGTTACTGCTTAAGACATGTAGTACCTATAATACATATAGTTACCCATAAGTAGCACTCTTAAAGTAGCATGTGGTTTTACTCTTATGTTATATTCTCAAAAAGTGTGCAATAGCAATGTTGGCTTTACTTTTCAGGAGGATGCCGCAATTATCTCCTTCTGTGTTTGGTAGTATCATTCTTGTTGCTGTTAACGCACGCAGCATGGCACAGTGTGCTTGCGGCATTCGCGCCCTATGGCTCTCTGCTCAAAGATTTTCCTATCATCCAAAAGATCGGCCACAACTTGGGTCTAGTCTCGTATGCAGGAATAGACCCGTCGATGGCGGTGCACTACTTAGCACCAGAGGTATTTATTATATTCATAATGTGCGTTGCTCTCCAACATGAATTGAATGAATAAAATGTTAATAATAATTTCAATTAAAATTTGCAGCTCGTCATGAGTGGAGTGTCTCTCTTGGTGTATTTGTTAGTGAAGAAATTATTGACTAGCTCGGAAAACGGAATCCACAAAAAGGATTCGAAACATCAACGATATCCTCTGCTCACTAGTGCTGGTATGATGTTTTTATTATGTATTTGCATAGACGTTTAATTTCGTTGAGGATCGAGCTCCTCGAGGCGCAAGTGGTTAGCGCGTTTGGCTGTGATCTTAATAGATAAGCAACTTTCGCAGTGGTCATTGGATGGGTAACCAAATATTTACTATCTCGAGCTCCTCCTTACTTCGGAAGGCACGTTACGCCGTTGGTCCCGGCTGCATCCGGAGTCGTGTGCAGTGCACCCACCAATCCCAAATCTTCCTATTCCATCTATGGGGAAGGCCTGTGCCCCAGCAGTGGGGACATTTATAGGCTGATGATGATGATGTTGTTCCGTGTGGTCATTTCAGGTTCTTGTATTATGAATTTATGGTAGTTTGGTGTTCGTGGAAGTATAAGAAATATTTTTCCCTTTTTTATAGATATTTTTAATTATCTTTAAAAAGATTAACACAGCTTGTGTTATGTATGAATACAAAGTAATGGATGAAATACATAAAGAATAATACTTATAGAACAACTCTTACTCTATAAAAAATATTAATCTTTGCGTTTATAAACCGATGAATACTCTTATGAGGATTTGAACCCTGGACCTTTGGTGCTTGGAAGAAGGTAGGAGCGCTGCCGTTGCACCAATCGTCAATATTGGATTTTGATTTGATGCTTTAAATGTAAAGAAAATATTCAGAAAGGATTCACACCTGCAACTTTTGCTATACGGTCGGACGCACTAACCAATTATGCTACCGAGACCTTTATGGCCATTGATGATTTTAATTTTATTGAGTACGAAATGTCTTACTTTTCCTTTTATTCCAGGAAAGTACTTATGCTTGTTTCTCATAATGTTCTCCGGTATAATGAGGCCAAGTGTTTCCTCCGGGATATACTTCTTGGTGTTCATGGGAGCGGCGACGGCGTGGGCACTAGGCCGACCTCTGGAGAAGGGGTTTGCGGTCATCAGTCGCTGCATCATGGCCATTATGGCGGTGCATATAGCTGTATTAGTTGCTTATCAGTGTTCATGGCTCATCGAATTCTATCCACCGGAAATGGACTTTGCTAGGCAAGTATTTTAAGTTTTTTTTGGTACGACTATATCTTTTTTCTTTCGGTTTGTTCATTGCAAAGACTTAAAAACAGTTCTCTTAGTTTTAATGGATAAAACGTGTCCGCTATTAGTCCTAATATTTTAATTATCAATTCTGCACAAGAGACTTATGGAATGTTACCACAAAGATACTATTACACTATTTTTATTTACACTAAGATACTATTAAACTATTACACCAGGTGGATATAGTAGTATGTTTAAAAATTTTAACAGTTTCCCTATTTTTTCAGATATTTCGGACTAACGAAATTGGTTTCAATCAACGAAACAACACCCACTTCTTTTACCTATGAGGTGACAAAAGATCAGTGGGCTACTGTAGCGAGTCCTTTAGTCATTCTATTCACCTATTTCATATTGGCCATCGAAACACGGGAATTATTCAAACCTAAGGTATGTAAATCATATAAATGAATCAAAGCATTTTACTTCGTATGCATTTCGATGCTGTTAACTAAACAATATTCTATTCAACTAACAGAGTGACTATGCCGGTTCGCTTTTTAGAATAATTTTCTTAATTGGGTCTCTCCGCTATTTTTCTTCGATTAATGCTGAAGACGCCTTTAATACTTTCATGACGCTTACATTGTTACTATTATGTAGATTTTTGTGTTCATGTAATTATATTTTATTAACCTGTAAGCCGTGAATTTTTCTGACTGATCGTCTGTCGTCGGTCGGGGCTTGGAGGTTAATGAATGTTTTGTATCTGCAATGCTATCGGGATATGTAGGCGAAGGAAAAGAGTGCGTTAACGGGCTTAGAGTCCGGGAAGCTGAACGGGTCGCTGGTACGCGGCGTTTCGTTCCACCGCAGCAGGCGCAGCAACCGCGAGAAATGGATCGGTGCAACTAAGAAAGTCCGAGTAAGGCTGGCGCGACTAAAAGTCTATAGTAGTTCTGTTACCCACTGTTTATTATCCCAGTCGCACTAGTTTAGAGTATCGCATTATTGTACCATTCTCCATACTTATTGTTTATTAAATCGCTTGCAATAGGTTACGTTTAGGTCTGTGCGAGTGATTCAACAGGTAGACGTATTCCTGTAATCGGTGTATTGTAAAATAGTTCTATAGTACCTATAGTAATTGCGTTCTCTGTATAGTTTGGTGCATGTTTTTTTAGATTGTTGTACTGATCTATGAGTTCAATAACAGCACATTTAGTTTATACGTTTAATTCCAGCACTGAAGAGAAAGCATGACGCACAATATTGCTAACAATTGATTCGTGCACTCTTCCATTCGGTTCTACAAGCATATTGTTTTCAAGATGAATATCAAAATTGTTTTGAATTTTGTGTTTGCAACCTGCTTTCATTCTTTTGTAGGTTGCATATTCATACATAAATTCCAAAGCACTCCGTGGGGGCGCCAGTGAGACCACTCCTGTAGGTATTTCATTTTATTCTCTCTTTTATGGATATGCCCCGTCTTGTCTTTGTCGCTTTGGTTATATCAATATTTGTAAAGCTTATGCAACTTGAACACAATATTTTAGAGACAAACAAGAGGTTTCTCTGAATTAAAATAATTTACAGTAATACATATTTGGTAATACATGTGTTATTTATTACAAATATTGTTATGATTATTTCAAATTTAATAACGCTTGGGAAGCTTTGACTGTTCATCTTTATACATACTTAAACTGTCCATACAATAATCAGTGCTGTTTCATTAATTATCATATTTTGTTTGCATTGTGAGTCCGTGTTTGTTGTCCATTGCAATGTTTACTTTGTATCATACACAACACCTGTTGCGTAAACTTATGAATACATTTAACGGATGACTTAGTCGGAATGCAAATAATGTAGTAATACACAATGGTATAAATTCATTGACTAGTTTTACCTATGGGATTAGTTTTTTTTATTAGTAAACATGATATTTTTAAAGCATTAACATAACAAATATTATAAAAAAATTAACTGCAGTTAAATTCCTAAGGGTAGCTACACACATAATCGGGCCTGCATAGTTGGTTCGGCAGTATTGTCGAACAACAAAGCCCCGTAGTAATTTAATTACTGCCAAATATTCACCTACACATGTCCTAACTACACATTCGATTTTACCGCCCGTGAGTAGCTACCCTAACACGATAACAAAATTTAATTATTATTTAATAACGACTAAGTGATAAAGCACTAACGGTAAATTCAATATTTTAATTAAATATTGCTTGCTTAAAATCACTATGATTCTTAAATCTAATGTTAATGAGACTGCTTTTGCTGTGTAGCTGATAAAGAATATAAGTCCGAGCAAACGTATGAGTAAGCGGTGGTCGAGCATCCGCTCGGGGTCGCAATCCAAGCAGCTACACCAAGATTCCACTGGCTCCGTAGTTGTACCAGATGAAGGTAAGACTTTACACAAAACTGTATTAGAATTCTGTAGTTATATTTAGCGGAAAAATGTCTTGAACAATATATAGACAAACCAAATCCCGCAGTAAACTTGTTTTTTATATACTTTGCCACTGTGCAGACATCTATGTCTATCCTTTATATTTGCCCGGGTACACTATTGAGATATTTGTTGCGTACCTTTATGAAAATCTCCCTAAGGCCTACAAGTAATCACTTTTTATCGTAATAATTTTAAGTGTTATGTTAAGAGAGGTAGGGATAATTAGCGGCCGTTTGCTAACAGATGGGGCAAATTGGTTATTTACGAATTAAAGAAAAAAGAAACAGATTTAGTAGAGTAGTTTACTAGAAAGGGAGTCGAACTGTAGACAAGGATGTCAAAATAATATGTTCTTATATACATTACACTACCACTTTACAGAATCAATGATGGAAGAAGAAAACACCCTCATGGATGACATTGTAGCTGCAATCGTGGATTTCTTCCAAGTTTTGATCAGGTAATAGTATAAGTCATTAAATCAAATAATTTTTCATTTCAATTTCATTATATTTTGTTAGTAGCCAATGTTTAAAAATATCATTTGCTGGAAAAGTATTGCCCTAAGTCCAGAGAAGTAAAAGATAAATTAAAAAAAGGTAGTCAAGTATTTAGATGACAGATACAAGATACCTTTGGAAAAAGTATTTGATATAACAGATACAAGATACGTATTTTCAAAATACTTTTTTTAAGTTAAAGATACTTTTTGAAACAAAACATGTTAGCAATATAGCCAGTCCGCTGTGCCTGTTCTTTGATAACAAAACTGTTAGGCTAAGCCCCTAAAGACGTGGCTGCTGTTCTTTCAATCATCAAATTCATCATCATAATCTTACGATTGATCTTACTTGCATTCACGGTTCTTCAATATTTATCAAAGGGGCCGTCCATTAATCACGTGATGTTTTTTTTTGCATTGTTTAACCCCCTCCTCCCCCTTGGTGATACATGGTGGGGTTTAAGACTAAACCCTACCCCCGGCCCCTATATCACGTGTATTTTTTAGTACTTACAAACAACCTTATTTTTTAATATTTATAAATACTGGTATAAGTATCATCTAATTTTATTATAGAAAATTAAAGAATACATTAATAACGCTTAGAGGTAGATAGAAAGGCTGCAGGTTGTTTTTGACTGACATTAAAATAATGAAAGAAATGCGAAAAACTTTTTTGTATTAATACATGAACATTATTTAATGATATGTGTGTGTGATTATATATCCGAGGATACTGTAGTATCCTAAACGCTGATACTGTAGTATCCTCGGACCACGAAAATACACGTGATATATTACTACACCCTCTGTCTAAGTCCCACAAAGTCGTTTCGTTGTCGACTGACGCAAGTGCACCAAAGTTCTCAAAGTAAATTTAAAATAAAATCGAGTTGTGGTTGTAGGGCAGCACCAGTGCTCGTTCATGCTCAAGACGAATGAATAGTTTAGGAGATTGTAGCTTATTGTTTATCACCACAGGTCATCTTACATCGCGACCACCATAACTATGATGGCGTGGAGTATAATGTTCCACTCGTGGCTAACGTTCGTGTTCCTGATGTGGGCGAACGTGGTGTGGCTGTGCCAGGACCAGCGCTCGTTCATGCTCAAGACCAGTCCAATCCTCGTTTGCTACGCGATGCTGCTGTTGCTAACTCAGTACATTTACGGCATGAACTTGCTGGAGACAGAGCTGCCGTCTAATATTACGGTGAGTGTTTTGTCATAAACGATAACTAAATGAAGTAAATAGTGAATTATCAAATTCATTGTTTATTTGCTGTGATGTTTAAAATAGATTGAGATATTATAAGCCAAGTTTCAACTGCTATTCTTACTTCTATTGCAAATGTAATATATAAATAGGATGTAAGGTTTCATAAAGTTGTAAAAAACTGAAAAAACATAACTTTCCTCTTTTGTGATTCGCCTAACAAGATATTTATCTTTTTAGTAAGTCTCATCTAATTAAAAACTACTGTTTGTCGCAGGAGGTGAATTTACGCCAGATAGGCGTGGGTAGATCGGAGGGCGAGCCTTGCGTGCCACTATTGATCAAGTCGCTGTTCACATGCATGTTTTGGGTGACGCTCAGGCAGCGCGTACAAGAGATCCGGCAGCGGCGCCAGTCCGCTGTCATCACCGATATGGCTGCGCCCCTGCAGCTGACTGTCTCCGCGGCGGCCAGTGGTATGTGACGTCACCCCATGTTCAGGATCATGCTCAGGCAGCGCGTTCTAGATATTTTATAGTCTCCGCGGCGGTTAGCGGTGAGTGACGTCACCCCATGTTCAGGATCATGCTCAGGCAGCGCGTTCTAGATATTCGGCAGCGGCGCCAGTCCGCCGTCATGACCTCAATAGCCGCGCCCCTGCAGCTGATAGTCTCCGCGGCGGTCAGCGGTGAGTGACGTCACCTCACGTTCAGGATCACGCTCAGGCAGCGCGTATAAGAGATCCGGAAGTGGAGCCAGTCCGCCGTCATTATCGACATGGCTGCGTCCCTGCAGCTGACTGTCTCCTCGGCGGCCAGCGATGAGTGACGTCACGTCACGTTCAGGATCACGCTCCGGCAGCGCGTACAAGAGATCCGGCAGCGCCACAGTTTGCAAGATTGTCTTAGTAAGATTGATATGTTAACGTTGATTAAAACTGTTTATTTCCGTTATATGCAGCATAAAATTTCTTGTATGCTGTATATGATTAATTAAACGTGTGTGTGCTGCAGATATAAAAAAAGCTCAGTAATGCCTATTCCTTTGCGTTCAAAGCATTGTTTTTCATTTTCCTAACTTTCTGACAAGACTAATGATATATGTGATCAATGCGATTTAAGACAGTAGTGAGCTGCTATTAGTTAGATACACACTGTTACTTAAATAGCATCATTGACTTAGATTTGTTCAATATTTTTTTCATGAACAGGTCTGGCAAACGGTAATATGTTACAAGCCTTATGCATCTTTCGCACAAGCGATTTTAATTTATTTTTACTAAGTATCACATCTACAGATTTTTAAAAAGACTTGCCACATCTTCCTCTTCGGTACAACTCAACACCCTGTCATTTCTTCTTCCTCTCTTCTTGAAATATTTCGATTACACATTGTTTTTCTCTCAATAATTTTATGTTGATGACCAACAATACATAAAATTAATATAAATTAAAATTGCATATTCTCTTTTAAGCACATTTAACCAGGAAGTTGCGAGATAGCTAAGCGGGGGAAACTTACCAACCGAATCTCCTAATCGAGCTAAGGCTCTGAATGCACTTTTATCACGAACCAGTTTTTAAAACATTTATGCCACTCCACCCTTTTTCACTCCACTCCAGGCTTTTTTATCTTCAGTATCGCCTTCGCGTAAAAAAACTTGAATATTCTGATATTCTTCTTTCGTGAGCGAGGCTAGCTAAACCAAATGATCTTTCGTGAAAGAGCTTTCGATCGCTCTCCTAGCCATGTTTCCGTTGAGTTACTCACACCGCCATTTAATAAAGAGGTTTCATTTAAGTCCTCGATATATTTAAACAGTGATAGAAGCCCAACGCGAAGAAGAGAGTCGTTCCCGCCTCCTACTTATACGGGGCTAATGGTTGCGCACCGCCTGCGCCCGCTACTGGATGTCCGACATACTTGAGAAATTCTCCAACTTTCTGATATTCTTCTTTCGTGAGCGAGGCTAGCTAAACCAAGTGATCTCATTGGTAGTTTTGTATCACTCTTCGCCGAGCCATACCGCATGTTTCAATTGAGTTACACACACCGCTGTTTCACAAAGAGGTTTCATTTAAGTCCTCGATATATTTAAACAGTGATAGAAGCCCAACGCCAAGAAGAGAGTCGTTCCCGCCTCCTATTTATACTGGGCTAATGGTTGCGCACCGCCTGCGCCCGCTACTGGATCTCCGACATACTTGAGAAATTCTCTAACTTTCTGATATGCTTCTTTCGTAAGCGAGGCTAGCTAAACCAAGTGATCTCATTGGCGGTTTTGTATCGCTCTCCGCCTAGCCATACCGCATGTTTCAATTGAATTACACACCGCTGTTTAATAAAGAGGTTTCATTTAAGTCCTCTATATATTTAACCAGTGATAGAAGCCCAACGCGAGGAACTGAGTCGTTTCCCCCCTTCCGTACACTGGGCGAATGGTTGCGCGCCGCCTGCACTTGCTACTGGATCTAAGACATACTTGAGAAGTTCTCGAATTCTCTGATATTCTTCTTTCGTAAGCGAGGCTAGCTAAATCAAATGATCTCATTGATGGATTTGTATTGCTCTCCGATTAGCTATACTTATTGCATTTTTCTGTTGAGTTACACACACCGTCGTTTAATAAAGAGGTTTCATTTAAGTCGTCGATATATTTAAACAGTGATAGAAGCCCAACGCGAGGAAGAAAGTCGTTCCCGCCTTCTCCGTATACTGGGCGAATGGTTACGCGCCGCCTGCGCCCGCTACTGGATCTATGTGGTGGTCATCATGTTGTTCGTGATCGGAGTCACCGGCGATCGCATGACCATATTCCGCATCATCTACATGTTCCTGTTCCTCGTCTTCATACTCATGTTCCAGGTGAGCTGTTCTTACCTAGATACTGCATAACTATGCTTGGAAAACAACATCACGATTCAACGATTATCAGGAGCGGATGAAATGCGGTCGGAGAAGTTTGTCTGTAAAAGGCGATTATGTAATAATTTTGTTATATTAATGGCGGTAAGCGCCCACAAGCTTTTGTAGACGCTGGCGATACCAAAAATATCACTCGCGTCGTCACCCAATCCATAGGGAAGTGGCACCCGTGGACAACAGCACCAAAAGTAAGTGTAATTTTAAAGTGTAAGGTGGAGGTTACTTCAACAAGACGGGCGCTCCTACTTAAGTAATACTAAGAGAAATAACTATATATCCTTCTATCAAGATTTACTATAAATGATTAGCGTGATAGTTTACAGCTCGGCAATTTTCTTTTTGACTAAGTACTTAGTTATGCACCGTTCGTATTATTGAAGTTGCACGATTGAGTACAATTTCTCGTAAATATGTTTTCTAAGCTATAGCTAATTTATGTTTCTGAGTTTTAAACATGTTCTTTAATGGCTTGTCATTTACGATGCGGCTATATTTGTACCAATATATCTGCTACATTAACTGATGATAGTTCATTCTGAAGCACAGAAGAGCTAGTGAAAGCTAATGTTTGCTTGTCCTTCCTAAGGCTAGCATGAATCCATTGTAAACAAAATTATTACCACTGTTCCCCTTATTAATAAACGAAGAATAATATTTGTTTCTTAGGTTTTAGCCTGTAAAGGCTACGAAATGTAAATAAATAAAGTTTCGTGCATTAACCCGTAAAAACTAGTTTTATTTAACGAAGAATAAGCTAGGATTAGTCACTCCATGTTTTGGGTCTGTTCATTGAGTGACAAATAGCATTTGAGTGAGAGGAACAAAGCACGCGTAACTAGTCTAAGCTTATTCCTTGTTTATTAATAAATGTAGTCCAATGTTTTAGCATAAGTTGCTTATTTCTTTTACAATAATGTAATTTAATCTCTTTCAGATAAGTTATCGTTGGTGGCGAAAGTTAATGTACGTGTTTTGGATCACCGTCATTATATATTCCATGATCAACCTTATACTTATTTACATATACCAGTTCGATAACTTCGCCAAAACTATAGAGACCTATTTGTTGATCAACGAAAGACTGTAAGTTGAAATTTGACATCAGTCAGTATATTGTTTATTAAATGAGCTTTTATAAATTCTGTTAAATAAATTATTTCAGACAACATGACTTAGGTTTAGAGCCATATCATCCAGCGGATTTGTTTGTAAAGTTGCTGACTCCAACGTTGTTTTTGATTATTACAATTATGCAAGTACATTACTTCCATAAGGACTTTATGGCGCTCTCGGACTTAAGGACTAGGTAAGTGAATGGTCATTAATTCGACTTTTTATACGATTGGGAGACAAAAAATAATTTGTGGTTTATTATAATATTACATTGGTGGTTGATTGTTAAAAGGCACAACACTTTTGTAAACTGTGGTAACACAGAAGAAACATTATCATCTTTTTAGTTCATAATGTGTATTATTTTCATTATAAAAACTTAACTTTGTTCATACTTTAAATAATGGCAAATAAATACGTTGTATTTTTTTATGTAGAAAATGTTAATTTCATCGTATAAATTATTATAAGTATTGCAAATCAACCAAAGTTATGTGCCACTATAAAACATAAAGAAAACTTGTAAAACATAAAGAAGAAATTTATTGTTTCAGAACAAATACGGTAAAAGATGCTGACTCGAGTCGACACAGTCAAGCGGGTGCTTCGACGATAAAAGATGACGTAAGCTTGTTGCGGAAAACAGTTTTCTCTGTTTATTTCTTTAAAATAAAAACACATTTCTAACCGCCAGGACCCAGGGGCGTATTTTGAAATTGGCGCTGAAAGCAATGTACGATTTTCACCGTTCCCTTCCCTATACACCAAATCAAAATTTAGTTCAGTAAGGAATCATCTTTGCCTTTGTATGGCTTCTGCCGCCCCGGGTCATGGCCCCTTTTAGCCCAAGTGTAAATACGCCCCTGCCAGGACTGCAAAATTTCTTGTTTGATCGATTTTTAATATTTATTTTATTTTATTTATTTTAGTGACATAGAAGACCAACAGCTTGTCTTAATAAACTAGAAATAAATAGTAGCGACAACAAAGCCAATTACAGATCCTCACATCTAGATATAACTTAAAGTTAAAAAGAAACTATTTGCACTGTACAATGTAAATAAATAAAAATAAAATATATATGTAATATTTATTGTTATAAAATATAAATAAATATTTCCAACACTCACACCAATTAGCCTAGCCCCAAAGTCAGCACTGTAAGGCTTGTGTTATGGGATACTAGGGTAACGGATAGAATACATATACAGTAGAATCCGTTTATTATGACATCGAAAGGAATTGACAAACACGTCGTAATAAGCGGACGTCATACAAAACGTTTTGTGAAATGTAAAACCTTTTTTATGTAAATATGTATGTACTTAAGCATTTTAATACAGAAACATAGTAAATACATATGTCTACATACATATTAAATCAAAATTGTACATAATCAGCACATTATAACACATACAAGTGTATTTTTTACTGTAAGTCGAGTCGAGTCGATCACTTTCGAGTTGTTTCTTAGCGCTAATGTTCTGTACGATATTTTCATCGGTGGGTTCTTCGGATGTGAGGAGAGCGCTATCGATGTCAACATAATCTTCCCACATTTCCGGTGCTGCTAAAGAATCTGAATTTAGGTTTCGTGACCACAAAGATAAAGGAATATCATCTTCTTCATCGAATTCATGTTCTGATATTTGAATAGGTAAACCGTCGTAGCTTTCAATAAATCCCGCATGTTTGAAACAGTTATGAATGGTACTTTGTGACATTTTATTCCAGGCATCATTAACCATCAGAATTGCATCTAGCACCGTTATTTTTGTAGAAGAGTTGTTTTCATTAGCATCAAGACAATTAAGCATTTTGAGCACAAGGTTCTTCCTAAAATTTGTTTTGAGTGATCGTATTATTCCCTGATCCATTGGCTGTAGTAGGGAAGGGAAGTCATTATATCCGACTTTTTTATAAAGAATTTTATATGAAAACCAAACTTCGTGGTGTAATTACGTCATAATAACCGGTTGGTCAATATAGGCGGAGTCATAATAAACGGATTCTACTGTATAAGTATATTTATATAGAAATACATATTAAATATCCATGACTGGAATACAAATGCTCGTATTCATCACACAAACATCTGCTCCCACCGGGATTCGAACCCGGGACCTCTCGAGTCGGCGTCACCATGAAACCCGGCGTACAAACCACTCGGCCACGGAGGTCGTCAAAATGTAAAATAATACATATATTAATAACACATTCCATATTTCTTTTGAAATGAATTAATACCTAACTGATAATCATTATTTAGGTGCCTCCATTATCGCTTGAAGAGGAGCGGGCCGCGTCGCCGGAAGGAGAAGACAAAAGTTTGACCGAAGCGGACCATTCCATTGAAATATCTTCCATGCATACAGCAGCGAAACGATCAATACACAGGTCAGTTAGAAGCTTCGATTATGGAATCCCGAATCTGTTGGTTAAAAAGCTTTGATATTTGCATATTAGTCATAAGCGTGACGGCTCTCCACGTACACGATTAGCATATAATAAGCCTCTGATGTACTGCAATTTATTCGTACCAAACGTTTAATATTCACGGAAACGAGGTAATGAAATGAGTTTCTTTAACATTGGTTGTCGTTACTCCGGCCCATGAGCCTTTTGGTTTTTGGTACGGATTTTGGTAAGCATTTTGGTATGTCAAAGAGAAAGGCCATCCTTACATATTGTAAGCGATTGTGTGACCATAGAAACACTCCACTAACGGTCAATTTTAATAATCCAACTCCAGTAAAAGATAATCCAATTATAGCTTACGGCCAATTTACCCTCCAGTAAAAGATATGGATAATCTGGTTCCGTTCCTCAGCAACAGCTGTTGTTATTATAATCTTAATAATAAGAAAAAGCAAAGCTCTAATAGGCCTTTCTCTTACTGTAGTTTGAAACTAGCTGTTAGTCGTCTAGATAGTTTCATTATTTAGATTAAAGTAAAAGCGACAATAGGGATGATGATCAACTTTTTTTTCTTTGTCTAGCAGGTAAAATATCAAAAGGTATTGGACACATAATTTGTTTTTTATTTCACACAATGGAAACATTAGAGTGATAATATTTATTGATTTGAAATGTCGCATGTATGAGGTTTTGGTACAATTTTTACTTAGACGTGACGACACGAGTTCGCACCCCCAAACTTTGATGCGCATTATCTTTGTCATTTTCTAGTCGATTGGCAATGTTACTGACGGACTAAATAGAATTACGTTTACTTCACCCCGTCATCACTCCTATGCTGACCTTTTAAATCGTAAATCGATTATTGAAACTAGTAATTCGTAACTGGCTTTCGTAAACAGCGTGTAAATTTTTGTTTCTGTTTTCATTAAACCATTCGTATTCGTTTTGCCCCCAGAAAACCGTCTAGGTCGCGTTCTTACGCGCCCACGGTAACAGAGCGGCCGTCGACCGGCTTCCGCGAGGTGGCGATGCGAGCGTTCGTAGTACTGCGACGCCGCGCCGGCGAGTTCGCCGACAAAATGTTCATCTACCTCGACATACACCTCGTCAAGATCATATTCGTGGCGCTCATGCTGTTATGCTTGCTCAATGTGAGTCTTACAACCTTAGACATAAGGAATAGACTGAGCGTTCGTTATCCAACTATAAGGTCGATTTACACTTATCCACTTCGTACATTCTAAATCACTGACCGCCTTATTACAAAATGGAGAATGAAGTTGAATCTGGACTAAAACTGATGCTTTCACTTTTGTTTGCTAAAAAGAAGACAGAGATAACATGAGATTTAAAGCAAGACTAACTTAAGTCCGCGTTCTGGAATAAGGGGTTAGCAAACTTTTATAGCCCTTTTTTACTGCATTTTGTACTTCTTTAAAAAGATAAATAATATGGAGCTTAAAGGAAAACGTTTCCGTTTCTTATTCAACAAATTCCTAAATGCATCAAAACCAGGTATGCGCGATGCACGTGCCCATAATGGTGATAATAGCGCCGGCGTTGTGGCTGAGCTCGCGTCGCCAACGAATCTGCATCCTCTTCATATCCATCCTCATCAGTATATACCTGATGGCGAAGATGGTCTACCAGATAGACTACATCAAGCACTCCACTTTTGACATTCAATGCGATGCTCAAGTAAGTATTCTTTTGTTATGGTTGTGTGTTATTACATGGCATGCCCAGAGTCCTATTGGAAAATCTGCATCGTCCTCATATCCTTCGTCATCAGTATATACCTTATCTAGACTACATCAAGCACTCCACTTTCGACATTCAATTCGATGCTCAGGTTAGTATTATTTTGTTAAGGTTGTGTTATTACATGGCGTGCCCATCGTCCTATAAAAGAATCTGCATCCTCCTCATATCCATCCTCATCAGTATATACCTGATGGCGAAGGTCTACCAGATAGACTACATCAAGTAACCCACTTTCGACATTCAATGTGATGCTCAGGTTAGTATTCTTTTGTTATGGTTGTGTGTTATTACATGGCGTGGCCATAGTCCTATAGAAGAATCTGCATCCTCCTCATATCCATCCTCATCAGTATATACCTGATGGCGAAGATGGTCAACCAAATAGACTTCGTCAAGTAATCCACTTTCGACATACAATGCGATAGTCAGGTTAGTTTTTTAAAATTTGTGTACTGTTATATATGAACTGTTCGATAAATCTTATGATTCATTTTCTATAAGTATACCATGGAAATGTTTATAATTTTGTACGTTTTACTCCTAAATATACATACATTTTAAAGTTGCAGTAAATATGTATGCGAGCTATTATATCTAAGAGCGTTACGATAGACAATAACCGCCTTATCAGAAAATGTAGACTAAAGTTAAAGCTGGACATGAGCCGTCACTTTTGTTTGCTAATAAGAAAACACAGACAACATTTCGTTTAAACCAAGACTACCTTTAGTCCTCGTTTTGGAATAAGGCACAAAGTGACCTGAATTGATACGATTAATTTACGTTCTTTAGGATAACGGTAACAACACCGGTAATTTAACGACATACAATAACGCGGACTGGTTGGGATTCCACAAGGCTACCAAGAAGCGACCACTGGTTGTGTTACTGGAAGGTTACATCGCACTCATAGCACTGTTCACCTTCTACTCCTTGGTCACATATAGGCAACAGAATTTAAGGTTAGTATAAAAAATAATGCTAGTTTTAGTGAATTGACGTTTTTTAAGTTTAACACGGAAGAAAAAGTCGTTAGTCTAGAAATGTGGAAAAATACACACTTAAAACACCTACTCTCTAATTGCTAAGTTGTAAGGCACGTGGATATATCAGATTTACAACATATCAGCAATAGAAATCCACCGTATTATTAATCTGTTTGCGTTTGAGATATACCTACTTCTTATAATAAGCTTGGGATTAATTACTTCATGTTTTGTCTCTGTTTATCGAATGACAAATGACATTTGAGTGATATGAACAAAACAAGGTTAACTAGTCTAAGCTTATTCCTCGTTTATTAATAAGGGGGACAAAGTTTTCTACTATACCAATAGTAAAATAAAAAAGAAGTTCACGGTCTTTTTTGTTTATTTTAAAGTGTATTTTTATTACTTTTTTAGAGAGTTAGGACAAAACGTTAAAGACAAAGATAAAATAATGTTCCCAGACATCACACGAAAAGAAGCTGATGTGGATCTAGTGCACTGCATTAAATATTTTACGAATTACGGGTTTTATAAATTCGGTGTTGAGGTAAGTTCAAACGATTGTATTTATTTTCACTTTTTTCACTATACTGATTTAATTTTGGAATTGGCGTAAGCACAGGTCCAAAGACTCAATTTTATTGATATTAATTAGCAATCTATGGAAATGTGATATGATCTTAACACAACATGCAAAACTCGACAATAATGTACTCTGGCTGGTTATTAGCACCGGTATCAGTTAGACGCGCGCGTTATGCCCGCATTTGGTCCTGGTTCACCCCGATTCTACTGCTGCAGTACATTAGGCGTCGACTTTTTGCTTTTAGTTTTTTCACCATTTTAACACAAAGATAAGCTATACCGCGTATTACAACAAACAGTTAGCAAATAACCCTGATTTGTTTGTAACTTCAGCCATTAGTAGGAACTTGGCGGACTGAGTGCCCGAGATGTTTATTTTTAATTTAAGATCCTTTATTTCTGTAATGACCCTTTTTTTGGACACAATAACATATAAGTTAGGGTATATTAGGTAAAATTTTAACACTTACTGGTGTCGATTCTAGCATGATTCTCTAAATCTAAACTTAAATTTGACAGCAGTATATCCTTGTCATTCTCTATACAGAATTTAAAGGAGAGACTGATGTCAAATTTAGTTTTAAGTTTAGAGAATCACGCCAGAATTGGCACCACTGTTTGATATAGATATGGTAAATGTGGTGTTTAGCTATAATTTATTGTAACATTGATATAAGTGTCTCCGTGTCTATAATTGTAATTGCTTAAGTGTCGCTATTGTTGGTAAGCCTATTAAATAAATAAAATAGTACTGTGGCTGGTAATTAGCACTGGTGTTAGAAAGACGCGCGCGTTAAACCCGCTTTTGGCACGCATTCACCCTGATTCTACTTACATAACATTAGGCGTCGACTTTTTGCTTTTAGTTTTTTCATCCTAGTTTTTTCACAAAGAGAAGCTATACCGAGCATTACAACGGTTCGCAGATAACCCTGATTTGTTTGATCGGCGTGATCGGGTCTCGCATGGATCTTTACGCCGTAGTGTACTCTGGATGGTTATTAGCACTGGTGTCAGTTAGACGGGCGCGTCAGGCCCGCATCTGGCCCGCTTTCACAGCGTGCATCACAGCGCTGCTGCCGCTGCAGTATATGCTAGCCGTTGGCATTTTGCCGCAGCTGTGCGTAAGCTACCCCTGGTCCGGGGACGATCAGGTACGTTATAGTATAAACTGCTACACTTTTTGACAGATTTCATGATATCCAATATTTCAAAGTATAAAACAAAGTCTGGTCTTCGCCAAAGCTAAGCGAAAGCGGGTCATTAGTTTTACTACAAAAATGTAGGTATCGGGCTGAATTCGAATGAATACACGAATTTATAGCAGGAAGAGTTAACAGGTATATGGAGGAGAGATGTGTTCAAAGATTTTAATATTTGAAGATGCCATTTAATTAGCGAATGCAGATTCACTATATACTTATCAGCGTTGCCAGACGTCCCGATTTTGGCCAGACGTCCCGATGTTGACTAGACGTCGATTTTTAAAACAAAATTAAATATCCCGCGCGGGACAGGCTCAATCCCGCTTTTCGGAAATAACTCTACCGTGCGTGCAGCGTACTGAGAAAGCGCCGACGGGTGGCACAGGCAAGTATGAACTGGCCGACTGCCCTGCGCGTAATGAAGAACTCTCTGATTTAAAATATCATATTTTTATTCAAATACATTTTCTATGGATATTTTTACTAGGTACCTATTTATTGTCACGTAAACGTATTTTGAACTCAAATAAAAAGATAAATATTCAAAAACTTTTGATTTTTTTACTATGTCCCGCTTTCGACGAAAGAATCCCGCTGTTTTTTACTCAAAAAGTTCGTAGATCCTGACTTGGCAAAAAGAAAATCTGGCAACGCTGATACTTATCGTTTTAATTATTTTCCAGCAAATAAAACATGTGCGCACATGGTTGTTTCTGCCGTATCTCGACGAGCCGCCGCACGCGTTGAAGTTGGTGTTCGATTATTTCCTCCTGTTGTTTGCGACGCGACAACTGCGCGTGTTCCGCATAGAGAGAACGTACGGTGATAATTATGCGGGCGGATCGAACAGTGAGGACATAGGCAAAGATTGGGAAACGCCCAATTTCGTCAATCCAGTGCCCGATTTCTTGAGCTACGTTGGGTAAGATGACGTTGATTTTTATTACACTATAACAATATGCTAGCATATCATATCGAGATTCGAATGTGAATGCCACACATTAAATACAAATGTGAAGTGCTATTAAATTATAATTTTCCCATTAGAAAACTCAAAACAAATTTCGTATTGTTTTCTACCCACAAAGTCATTTTAAATAATAATCCGAATATTTTATAGTAAAAAGTTCGTTTTAAAAATTGACATACAAATCTATCCATTTACAAGTATCAACTAGGCATTTTTAAATTTCAGGACATGGCTGGATGTTGTAAAGCGCGTAGTATTCTTGGGAATGCTTTGGGTATCTCTAGCCATAATGTTTATGACGGGAACTAACCGCGTGAATCTGTTCTCCATGGGCTATCTGATAGGCTCTTTCATATTTCTGTGGCAAGGAACCGATTTCTACCTACGACCGAAGGAAGCTATTTTACAATGGTAATATATTTTTTTATTTACTTTTAGACATTATATTGCACGTTTGAGAGATTTAATATGACTAAAAATTCATAATAGATGGAAAAAATATCTAGCATTATGTGACCGTTGCCTGCCATAGTTCGATGATTTATGAGCGAATATTTTTACTTAATGAAGATTTAATAGGCTGATTTTGATGATAAATGGTGGCAATATAATCAACAAAAATAGGGCATTTCTGTCTGTCCCTCATGGCCTCTGAAAAATGAGTCTGATCTTATGTATGTATCTTTGCATAGGTGGACGTGGCTAGTACGCTACAACGTGTCAGTGGTGGTGGTGAAAGCACTCCTGCAGATCCCGGGCTGCATGTTCAGCTCGCTGATGCAGGAGCACGCGTGCTGGATAGTGCAGCTGCTCGGCATCGGCTGCGTGGATAAGTTCGCTGGCGGGAACATAGCGAGGTTTATCCGCATGCAGTATGTCAAGGTGACTGGACACATTCATCGTCCGTACATAGGTGCTGGATAGAAGGCGCTCCTCAGATCCCGGGCTGCATGTTCAGCTCGCTGATGCAGGATCACGCGTGCTGGATAGTGCAGCTGCTCGGCATCGGCCTTCGATTCTACCTATGCGGAGGAATTGATTTCCCGTTAAAACTTATCCCCTTTTCTACATATCTATATAAAAATTGCTATTTATAGGCAGCAGCAAACTTCTTAAGCAAACCACAGAAAAATAAACTTGCGCAGTAGATCTTTTTGAATGTGAAGTTGCTACTGCACAGGCTTCCTTTTCTATGGTTGTTGTTCAATAAGTTTGCCGGAGTGTATACTGTCTCCAGGGTCTCTCATCTATGTTTTTGCCAAAATTCATTATAATTGACTCAGCGGTTTAGTTGTGCGTAACAACCAAACAAAGTTAACATACATACCCAGACACATAAAGAATATATAGACTGAACGACACTCCTATGAAACTAACGAATCTATAGAAAGAGAGAATACGATGGTGCAGCTCAGACATACGAATTTTGGGATGCATAATCACTTCACGATTTACGATGAAAACATTTCAGTGATATGTTATTAGGACGTGAGCGCACCTAATGATTAAATTATTGGTCCACGCTAAAATACTATCATGACTATTGAAATAAATATTTTTTTAAATAGTTTGTTGAAAATGCCTCAAAGGTCATATCTTGGTCAATATCTTTAAATATATTTCGCAGGAAGCTGCCTGTTCAGTACCGCAAGAAGACATCGGGCTTGCATGGGACGGGGTCTGCTTTGCTTTTCTCATCTTACAACGGAGACTGTTCTACAGTTATTACTTTTATAGGGTCATAGATGAGAGCAAAGCAACTACCGTCTTAGCGTCTCGGTAAGTGAATTTTGCCGAAAGAACTCATAATATAATATTAGATTTACGTCCATCTTGAAACAAGGTAGCTAGAAAATGCTTTCTTTAAACGTTGTATTAATCTTCCGAAATTCAACTTCGAATTGAATTTTTTGGGTAATAAAATATTTTTTAGTAAAACATGAATAATATAAATTAGTACCTCTGAACGTAATATTTATAAATTTATACAAAATATTGGGAACAGAGGAGCTGAACTTATTGAGGAGCTTCGCCTAAAGCAAATGCAAATACAAGAGGAACAAGAGATTAAGATATTAGAAAAGATTAAGGTGAAAATGGAGAGAATAAAAGCTAACCAGAAGAAAATACAAGGTGCTATGGTTAAGCCGCATCATCATGACACCGGTAAGAGGATATCATTTTATTACCTAATTGTTACTATGAAACCAAGCTCATTTAAACTGTTAGTAGAAATTCGAAAAATATCGAAAATATACACTTTCGTAACTTTATTTTCAAAGAAACATTTAGATTTATTATTTAGTATCAACTTCCAACCGCAGCTTGGATCAGCGGCTTAACGTTAACCTAGCGGATTCATGCTACGAAGGTATATTTACGATCAATAAATTTCCACACTGATGATCATAAAAAGAAATAGTATATCGCGATAGTATGCTTGTTTACTGACATACGAGTGTTTGATACCGCTGCCTCAGAAGAAGAGGAGGAGACGCAGCCGTCGGAACAAGTGCCGCTAGTTCGCGGCGATTCGGACGTGTCTCAACGCGGATACCACACCCCCGACTCCCCCGCCTCGCCCCGCGGCTTCCACACCCCCCTCTCTGAACCGTCCGCCCCTCCAAGCCCTGTCAGAACCCCGCCCCCAGCGCCTTTACCCCCGCCCCCGTCCCAAGGCCCACCTTCCCCATCCTCGGCTCTCATGACGGTATCGCTAGAGGCGTACTTAGAGCCGCGTCGCATATCCTTCGAGTCACCTTCCTCCTCCGCCAGAGCCCAGAGCCCTGAAGAATCTTACCCCGTATTCTCCCCGCCGCCTATTCGACGCCGCCATACGCTCGCCAGCCCCAGTCAGCTGCGCACGTCGATCATATCGCAGTCGAGCCGAGCGGAGCCACACTCCCATCATACGTGTAACTACGAATACGATGTAATTGTTGCGCACTCGGAGTCGGAGTACCTGTGGCACGCGCGCCGGATGACTTTTTTATGTGATATTATTGAACTATTTTTCAATAAATATATGAACATCAAAGTTTATAGATTTTGTCATCTAAATGCATTTTATATATTCTATATAATAATTTAGTCAGTTTCATTGACAAACAACAGCTCTCTTTGACAAGCATTGAATTTAATTAAACGTCTCTGAGTGCGATCTTAATGTGGTTATAAAAATCATGAAATACCTAAACTTTCAGTGAGGAAATTGGATTGATCTTTATAAACTAGCCCGTGTGACACAGTTGCTCTACACCACGGAACTCACAATAAATGTTACACTGTACCCTTTCTGTACAGCATTTAATGAAAATTGTGTATGTGTTTTTCAATCTATTATTTTACGCTTAGGAATTCCCGCGATAGGACAGCAGGTCTACACGAAGAGACACGAAGGTACGGTCGTTACATTTTGAGGCTGGTGTTGGCGGTGTTTGTGACTCATATCATGAATCGTTCTGTCTTATGAAGCCGTTTATGATTCCTGTCAAATCATGTCTTTCAACTCTCCATATTCTGCCTAGGCATTATACATAGTCTTGGCCCAATTTCCTGGTGTGAGATAAAAAACAAAGCAATATTAACACATTTCAAGGTTGAGGTGATTTAATCCTTAAATATTTATATAACCTTTCTTTTCACATCACTACACTATAGAAATGGATAGCTAATGAGCGAGAATAGTGATAACATTGCTTTGCTGTCGGAACACGCCGAACTATATTCTCACCATGTGCTTTGAATGACTTATGCATCAAGAGTGGACTGCGAGCTATTAAGCCTTTTAATCATTCCACTCTATGTATAAAATACCCGTTTACGTTCTAAATGCCCCTTACGCTGGTGTGTGAGCTGTTCCGCTGAGTTGTGATTTCTCTTATAGCGCGCGACAGGCCGTATGTTCCGTACAAGCAGCCCTCGAGCCATCAGAAGGGTAAAGTTGCGACAATACTTCGCCGATGTATCTTGTCATGCCAATACTAATTCCTACAGCTTGTTGGTTACGGTATATAGGCGTCATCGGCAATCTGGCGGGGACTGTCTTGATTTGTGTTTTCCATTGGTATTTGTAAATATTATGGAGTTGTGTGTAAATTTTCTCTTGTAAATACAAAAATCTAAGACAGTATACGCCCTTTGCACACGCTTATGATGCACGTATACGCTGCTTTGCATGTTCTCGCATGAGTATGTGAATTGTTTTTGTGCGAACGTGAATTGTGTTTGAGAAGCATTTTAATTTATAAGTACTGTACAGTACCAGGCCATTTATAAGTCGCATCGTGCTATAGAGAGAGATACTCGGCTAGCTTTGGCTACCTTCGGCTTTAAAGAGCGTTATCTCTGTCACACGAAACACTAACAGTCCGGTAGGCTTGTTGAAAATATATCGATATTTTTTGTTCAATATTTCGATATTTTTAGCTGATATATTTTGATTCGATATATCGATACATCGATACAAAATAACCAATATCCAAATTCTCTCTGTTTCGCTGGTGTATTGGTTGTGCTGAATTCCATAATATTCTCTTAGATTAGAACAAAAAGGGTAGATATGGCACTAGCCTCACAAAAGTGATCCGCATAAATTGTGGTCCACGACCCTAATCGCTTTAGTCACAACTTGAGATGCAAACGACGTACATGTGAACGCCAAAAAGAAATATTGCTAATATTGTGTTTATATGATAAAACAATGCCTAAGTGTGTTTTTAAAAAGTGCTCAAATTGCTCAAGAACTAAAAATAAAACCCACGGCATCACTTTTCATTCGTAAATACTATAAAATATTTATTTTCATAAAAATTGCTGTTTGTTTTGTATCTTATTCGGTAGTGACGTCGAGTACTGGTCGCATGATTGGTCGGTAGTGCAGTGACGCGGATCTCGCCGTCTCGTTCGCGCTGCCGTTGAAACTTAACGTGCTGTTTCGTTCGGGTCGGTAATGCAGTGACGCGAATCTCGCCGCCCCGTTCGCGCTGCCGTTGAAACTTAAATTGCTATTTCGTTCGTTCGATTGTATCTTTACAAACAGGTGGATGTGTGAGTGTTGCATATGTAGTAAAGTTATATAGTAGTAGTTATAGTTATGTAGTTATAGTTATGGGATCAGTTTTTGTTTGATGCAAGTATGAGCGTACCGTATCTACCATTTTGGTTAAATCTAAAAATATTCTGTGTAAGTGTGTGACTATCTAGTCTTGTTTACGAAAGATGGCACCTCAGAGGCCCTGCAATCATTTTCATCATTCGAAAATAAGGTCTATTTTTAGGGAGATAATATTCGTTTCATTATTATTCCGCGTGTCATCTTTCGTGAGATACTATACTGTCATGTAGTGTAGCGGCAATTTGGTACTTTGGTAATTCTTTCTTTAATTATAATTTGTATTGTTATTATTACTGTGCTAGGCTGACCTAAATATATTTTTAGGAAAATTGATCCGATATGTCGATGTTTTTTTCTCGATATGTCGAAGATCCCTAAGGTCAGCTTGACAAGGGTGACAGAGACGACGCTATACGAAGCCGAAGCTAGCAGAGTATCTCTATCTAAAGCTCGATGCGACTTATAAATGGCCGGGTACTGTATTTTATTAGGGGTGATTTAAAACGAACATAATTAATAATTATTTGTTAACAATTGTTTTATTTGCAAAGTCAAATTTTATATATTGCTGATAAAAACTGATTTTTTTATTGAATATCCATTTGTTTTTAATAGTGATAGAAATAGTAAATTGTAAGTTTGGGGCACGTTTGGAATTTTAATTATATCACACATTTTAACATCACGTATGTGTGCTTGTCTAAATTTTTTCATTGTTTATTGCTTTTTGATGGGTTTTTTATTTTATTACGATTGACGTGACTAGAGAGAAAGAGTTGTATTGGGGTCATAAATTTTATACAGACATTGGTGTCAATTCTGACATGATTCTCTAAACCTTAACTTAAATTTGTCAACAGTGTATCCTTGTCATTCTTTTTACAGAATAAAAAGGCGAGTCTGATGTTAAATTTAGATTTAAGTTTAGAGAATCACGCCAGAATCGACACCAATGTACCTAATAGAAATTATTTGCAATAAAATAAAACTAAATATCACTTTTATAAGCATTACATTTATCAAGCTGCCTCCGCGTGTGCCGCACTAACATAAAAATTTATTAAATTTGATAATTTTTTTATAAGTACGAATAAATTTTACACAAAATAATAATTATTTGGAATAGCATTTTTTGAGACATTAAGTTTTGAACCTCCTCTATCCACGTCAATTCGCAGTTTAACCTCTTACCACAAGTGTACTATAACATTTATTTTATACAGCGGTGCGTTCCGGAGACTACTACATGTTTGACGAGTTCGATGACACTGACGTGCATCTCAAAGATGACGAGTCGAGTTCCGATGAGGACGCGCCTAAGGAAATGGGCTTTGGCAAGGTAGGTGCAGGGTTTGTCAGATTAGACAAAAACATATATATGGGGAGTTATTCTTAAAACATTGAATACACTTATAACTTTTAAATCTATTCTTCAGATTACGCTTGTTGCTTACGTAGTTCTGCAACATCTTTTGATAACATTTTAGATGAAGTTTTCTTATGGCAGTCACTTATTTTGAGTTTTGCACCACATACCAACATTGGCGAACTCAACTAATAGTCGACACTTGACATGCTTTCCACTGTCATGACATTTGAAAGTGGTACTATTTAGAAATATGATAGTTATAAGATAAATATCTGGAGAATAGCTTTAAGAGTTATTAGAGTAAAATATTTTTATTAACTAATATTAAATGGGTGATTTAATAAACAAAACTAGTTAATAGTTTAATACAGAACAAAGTTTTATGATTGAATTCTCTTTAACACTGTAGTAGTCCTTAATTACCCATATTAAGTACATACCTAAATTTAGATTTTCAGATTTATTAGAATTTCAGCGATAAAACATTAGAAAACTCATTCAGTAATTACTATTACCACCACTTGCCTAATGTTACACTATCATAATGTAAATTTCAATATCTTAACTAATGGGGGGGAAGCCATTCTACAACTGACGGGGGGGGAACTCGGAGACATCAATTATTTTTAAAACTTCCTTTACGATAGCAGAATAAGACAACACGTCACTTTGTCGAGCGTTTAATTTAATTGAAATTTAATTGAGACGTCAATCTAGTCAGTTTTTTTTATTCTGTATTCTTAGTAATTCTCAAAAGTGTTACAATCGTAGTTTTAAACTAAATATTGGTAAATTTTTGTTAGTAGTGTGATGAAGAAGTATTCTGGGATGGATTATGTTGTTCTAATAATGAATTTGTTCTTCTTTAAGCATGGGTAATCTAATAGAGCATGAACTTTGACGTATGTGGTTAAATATCTTATTTAAATACTATGGTGATCAATAGAAAATGTTTATCAGTAAGTGGTAAAGGTTTATGTTATGAGTACAGATTCTCCGCATGTTGATCCCGATATGTGAGTGTATTTTAGTAAGCAGAGCATAGCAATGCCTTCTATGAGCTTTATGTGACTAACTATTGCGTATTTCCGTAACAACTCCGAGCCGCACTCTACGTCGCATATACCGCTACACGCGTATTACAAACTTTAAGACTTATTTGTCATTGTTACCGTTTTATAACGAGCCATCCATATATTCAACATCAGTTAAGGCATAAAGGGAGATTTAAAGTTAAGGTAAAAGATATAAAATCATCATGCACGCAATCCATCAAGTTTGCTTTGTCCAATGACTACATGAATACTCGATTCCGTAGAAACGAACTAAGTGACGAACGAAAAGTGGCTATTCTATTATTTACCGATGCTAAGCTAATCTATCGGTGGCCAGATTTTATTCTTATATTTACTCCTTCCTGATGACGGCCCTATTTCTCTTGTGACGACTCAGTTTTCTGCCTCCCGAGTCCTGTCCCATGTGTGCAACTTCCAATAATTGTCATTGATAAACAATTATGTGATAAAGAAGTCACTCCACTAATTTGTTTACACTTAAAAAGTGCCTAAGGGGTTAATTTGAAAAAAAAAGGGAAAAAGATTTATAAGAAAAGCGTTGAATGGATACATATCCATGTCGACTGGGTGAGTGGTATACGCGACGTAGTTGTAGGCGAGTGAGTGAGTGAATGGGTTTGGTGCGCGCTAGCTCCTGTCGACGGCCATCAAGACGGATCTGCAGCGCGCCGTGTCTATGCGCCGCGCTTCCGCGCCGGCCATACGCTCGCCGAGACACATGTCGCTGTCCAGTTACCCGCACTCCTACCCGCACGAGGTAACGCTAGCAATCAGTACCTAAAAGATTGCGTGGCCAGTCTTAACTGGGTGCCATGACTACATCCGCACTCCCGGCGCGCACTCCAGGGACCGCGGTCCTTGATTTCATGTCGACTGGGCTAGTGGTATACGCGACGTAGTTGTAGGCGAGTGAGTGAATGAATGGGTTTGCTGCGCGCTAGCTCCTGTCGACGGCCATCAAGACGGATCTGCAGCGCGCCGTGTCTATGCGCCGCGCTTCCGCGCCGGCCATACGCTCGCCGAGACACATGTCGCTGTCCAGTTACCCGCACTCCTACCCGCACGAGGTAACGCTAGCAATCAGTACCTAAAGGATTGCGTGGCCAGTCTTAACTGGGTGCCATGACTACATCCGCACTCCCGGCGCGCACTCCAGGGACCGCGGTCCTTGATTTCATGTTGACTGGGCTAGTGGTATACGCGACGTAGTTGTAGGCGAGTGAGTGAATGAATGGGTTTGCTGCGCGCTAGCTGCTGTCGACGGCCATCAAGACGGATCTGCAGCGTTCGGTGTCTATGCGCCGCGCCTCCGCGCCGGCCATACGCTCGCCGAGGCACCTGTCGCTGTCCAGTTACCCGCACTCCTATCCGCACGAGGTAACGCTAGCAATCAGTACCTACCTAAAGTATTGCGTGGCCAATCTGGGTGCCACGACTACACCCGCACTCCGGGGACCGCGGTCCGTGAAGTGCGTGACGGGTGACCGGTCCAGGAGTATTGTCTGGTTTTTATTGACCCTGTTCAGGGCGTTAGGTAAGGCCCTGCTAATTCACCGAGCCCCAGGGATGGCTGAAATGAGCAGGGAGGAGTTCTCCATACCTTCATTTCGCTCCCCCGGTGGTTGAAGGATGCGTAAGGCATTTTCCGGACATAAAAAAAGTACCCAAAGTATCACGTAAAACCTATTTGGACCATAGTTATTTAGAGTATAGGTGAGGAGGAGGTCAAACACTCGCCGAGACACCTATCGCTGTCCAGCTACCCGCACGAGGTAATGCCATCACTCAATATATCGTCGTTGTCGAACCAATATCTGCTATGTACACTTTAAGATTTCGACATTTTTATCATTATGTATGATCTTTTATGACTGGTATACTAACTGAATTTTCGAATGCAAAGACTGCTATACGAATTTTAGCAATATCTGAGAGGAGAGGCTGCTAAAAAAATATACTACGTGCATCAGCCAGAATATTGCAGATTTTGGTTTGACAACGACCATACAAAATATCACATAAAACCCATTTGGACTATAGTTATCTATAGTACATGTAAGGACGCCATACGCTCGCCAAGAAAACTGTCGCAGTCCAGCTACCCGCATTCCTATCCGCACAAGGTAACGCTACCACTCAATGTGTAAAGTATCACATACAATTTATTACGAGTAACGACTAACAGTGTAAAAAAACATTTAAGATAAAGGTGGGCAAAAATCTGATACAAAACTAGGGATTATCAGAATAGGCGTTCTAAAGTAGGATCGATGTACTCAATGGGCTTTTAACTCGCCGAAAGATTGTCGCTGTCTAGCTACCCGCACTCTTATCCTCACGAGGTAACGCTAACACTCAATGCATAATGTATCAGATAAACTCCATTTGGACCATAGTAATATGATCGATATGTGGATAAAACTTCTTGAAATATCAACTTGATTGGGGGCTGTTCTAGCTGTGCCTTGTATAAACTAGAAATACTTTGACTCACGTGACTTTAATCTGGATTCAAACCCACGACCTTACTCTTTAATCGAGACAATAATAGTGAGTATCAAATTGTGTTTCCACGTGTTTGATTTAATAACAAACACCTAACTATCGAATTTATAATCGTCTAGCTCTTCTTTTGGCATTAGAAGTCGTATTTATGATTTGTTATCAGATTTACATAATACTTAAGTTATTAAAAAAACAGTGTAGTTAGACCCAGTATAGTACATAAGGTAACGTACCAATGACCGCAATAAAAACAATGGGACCATAAATAATAAGTTCATCGAGTTATCATATTCGTGACCTAAATATAAAGGGATGAATTTGTTTGCCACGATGATATTTATCGATTCGATGCTAATTTAGTTCTGGCGGTGGCGAAGGCACATATGATTGCAAAACTGCGTAATTCGGTAAAAGGATTTCATTTTACGCTTGCACTTTTACATGCTATTTAAACATGTCTATGTTGATGTAGATACCTAGCTTATTATGCTTAGAAGATTTCCGAGATGCTTGCATGTTTTATGTTGGGATTATTTTATTACTATGCATGAATACTATATTTATTTTAAAAGCATTTTCCCTTAAGTATATTTTATTTCAGAAATTACACCATTTTATTTCATTTTATGGTGATTTTTTATTATCACAAGATAGTGGCATATATTATATTTTAAAAGTATACCTTTTCATACTTTTATTTACCTTACCTTTACATATTAAGTCTATTTTAAACCTTATGTTTTCAGTCGCAACATAGAAGATCTCAAGCGGATATCACTCAAGAGGGCGATGTTAACGTCGCATTGTCAGAGAAGGACCGAGACGCGGCTGTATCCGAGTTAGATGACATTGCTCCAGTACCTGGTTAGTAGTATCTTTTATTTTTTCTTCTATTACTTTTGAAAATTGGTACATAATTAATATTTTTTTAAACTTCTACACCCAGTCTTATCATATCATTTTCATATTTTTTTAGTAGAAACTGGTAATTATCATAGAAAACTAAAATGTTGAAGTTGCTTGTTTGAAGTTCTCCCACTGAAAAACACTATTTGCAATAGCTGTAATTATTCATTATCATGATTGTTAAAGTCGCGTGGTTAGGTTTGGAAACTATCGTAGCATACATGATGACAATTATTGTTGATGTTTTTTTATGTTTGTACAATATTCTTTGCGCTATTTACAGAACAAGAAACACTAGTTGACAAGATAAAACGTTTCTGGGACATCGCTTGGGCGCTGATCTCCAGTCTTCTGGTATCGCTGACGCGTCATCTCATGAAGTACTCGCGGGATTACAGATACGTTTCACGGACTCTCTCCGTCGAGAAGAAGATACTTAAGGTATGTTGAGTAATTTTCCAATACTTTTAAAATAACATTGTCTAGTAAAAAGAAGAAACCTTTACTACTATCGAAATCTTCAGAAGAAAAGCTGTCGGTTCGTAAATCTACGGCAGGAGACCTTGTACTGAGCAGAACCGGCAAGAAACTCGGCAAGGGCTGTTTTTTTCTCCCTGTTTTATTATTTACAAAGTCGTTATGTTGAAAAATGACTTCAGAGATGATTCATGAAGTCACCTTTCATTAGTTTAGTCATCGTTCATTAGTTATTAGTTGAATTCGATCTCGATACGCGTCAAACGTTAAGTAATTTTGTATGGAAATATGAACAGCGCCACAACCGATGTAATGAGAATTAAAAATCTTCCATATAAAACTTCTTGACATTTGACTTGTATCGAGATCGAATTCCACTATTCGAATTCGATGATTCGAAAGAATTTTGTTTATGCCGCCTCTTATGAAAAAGGCATTCATTATGTGCCCTAAACTGGAAAGATAATTATAAACCCGTATATGTATTTAAAGAAAAAGTTTTGGGATTAAAATAGCAGATCGTGTCTACGTTATACAATAGGGTATTGTACAAGTTTTCGAAATCGAGCTCACGTAATGTACTAATGTTTAAAGAGTCTATGAAAAGGGAATATTTATCATTCTGTTTTGTATTACAGTAAAAAAACAATCGAAAGGACATTGCTCGTTTCCCATACATTGAATGCCCTAGTACGCCCAGCAATGAGAAAATGCTAGTTGTGTTCGGAATCATTCATAAACTCTAATTAGGCATTTGTTGAGATACGGACAACTTGAGGAACAGTGGCCTACTACAGAATGTATTAGATTTTGAGGTTATAATTATTATACTTAATCGTAAAAGATGTACACTTTATATATTCTGAATAGATTTAGTGTTTACCTCTATGTAAGCACTTAAATAATATGCATCAAATGAACATAAAATGCAATTAATAATAAAAATAATAAATGCTCATTTTCATATTCATTTATGAGTGTTGGCAGTTGGCACTTGTGATACCTATACCTACCTGTTGTAATAATAGATTTGTAATAAGACATTTTCCTGGTTATCATTATGATTTTCAAAAAAAAATAAAGATATTTTATGGGATGGGAGTATAAACTATCTTTACATAATTTCAGAAATAATCTTTTTGTAAATATAATATAAATAGATACTAGTGACAAGTATGAATAATTAAGGTACCTAGTTCTATTCTTATGTTGATAAATACTTATGGTCACCTATATTGCATTTATTAAGGTAAACAATCTTGGCACAACTTTTTAACAAAATCACCCGTTTAAAATTAAATAATAACGAAGCCAATAAACAATTAAAATAAATCGTTATTATAGACTGAAATATTTTCAATCCAGTTATCAGTTGATTTTTAATGCTGTATTTTCAATAAAAAGGAGTGCCAACATTGTTTACCAAATAGGACAAGTTAGGATGAATAGACTGTAGTATCTAGTAACAGAACTTTTTAATTTAATTTTTTTAAACAGATTGTCCGTTTACTATGATTAATTGCTAATAAATTAAAAAAATAATAGAAAAATAATAGTGAAGGACATTCTTTTGGGCATGCTAGGGCCGATTTCGTCGATGTCCTTTCATTTTCTGAAGTTGCCGCGAAAACGTTTCTCTGTACATTATGGCCGCTCACTAGTATGTGACGTGACACGACTGTCATTAAAACGTCAAACGATACAATGTAATGTCACTTTGACCGGAACTTTACTAGCGTGTGACGTCAGTTTAGTCTTCGCCAATCCAATGCGTTTTCGGTCACGTGACCAAAGAACAAACAAAATATTTCTGTTTAATGATTTTTAGAAAAAATATTAATTATTTGTTCTCTCAGAATAGTAAAATCGTTTCTCATATTCATATTAAATAAATATGCCAACAATTAGTACTTTATTTTTCATACTGTCAAATAGCCTATTATGTTTGAGTATCATGATTGTTTAGCTAATTCGTGACCTTTACAGGAGAAGGAAGGTTTCGGCATTGGCATAAGAGAAGGCTCGGAAATGATATGGGAACCGCTGCCTGAATCACTCGTGCAACGGTAAGTGACATACTGAATGATTTTTAAGTTTAGTAAACTCCATTAATTATACCTTCTTTATAACGTAAATTAATTTAAATTAACCTTAAATACCAAAGAAAGTTTTAAACGGAGTTTACTAAATTTAATATATGTATTTTTATTAGCTTTAGTTGATGCCATGCTTCTGTGCATGTTTAAGGATTGTCATTTCATAACCAATAAAATGTAGAATAGTGATAAATAGTATTTTATAGTATAATTGAATGTGAATTAGGTATGTATGATGTAAGTGCAATGCCCGTAGTATTATGGAACGGTAGATTGACTATTTAGATTTATCAATTAGTGAGTCGTTTTGTTTTTGCATGCTGCCTAGTGTTAATGAAGTGGAATGTTATGATAACAATCTTCTGATGCCGATTATTGAAATGGGGTTTGTATTATTTTTTATTAGATTATTATGTAATTCATATTATGTAATTTATTCATATTATGTAGATTATTATGTAATTAAATGAATACATAATTCATATGTATTCATTTAATGTCAATTTAGTTGGTCACTTGAATTTAATAGAAATATGTGCAAGACCTAATAGTTTGATTGTGATGGTGTTAGTTAACCTTTTCGGTTCCCCTAGCACGATCACCACAATCCGATATGATACAGTAATTTATAAACACTTATCTACTGTTAAAGTCGCAATATAACACTTAGTTAACTGTATCACATCGTGTTTCGGTGCTCATGCTACGGATGCAGATATTTTAATAATTTTAGTTTTATTGTAGTACTGTGTTCTTCTATTTTGAGTCGTTCTTCTAGGAGCAGTAAAGTTTAGAACTATGGATGAAATTAAATTATTCATTCATCATTGACAAAATAACATGCTGGCATTACGTCCGCCATATGCAATGTAAAGGCATTAAAGATTAAAAAAAAAATTAACAAATACAGGATAATTGAACGTAACGTAGGTTACGTAAATTCACAAATAAGAGCTCTCATTTAACTTCAAGCTGGGTGGAGTAGTTTGGCAAGCTTTGTATTAAAAGAAAAGTACCTAATATAAAATCAAAAACTAATTCTCAACGCACCAAAGTGAACATTTCATACCTAATGTATACATTTTATCTCTCCCAAACATTTTGCTCCATGAGCAAGTATGTATAAATTATTTTTTGCACCGGAAAATTAATAATTATATTTCACGGGCCTTAAAGAAATCTCCCTATTTCATCCGTAGTGAAGACCTGTGCAGTGGGGACATTAATAGGCTGATGTGGTAGAAAGAAATAAAATGATAGACCTATTACACTACACGCATTAGTTGCAACATTGAAAATACCAGGGGGGCAATCGCCTCACGTGATTGCAACGGCTTTCACTACGATACGCTTACGATTTCATTTTGTTTTTTTGACCGCCTAGGGTTTTCAAATGCCTAGCGCTCTTTTTTGATGTGTAACATGTTTCCTCTCGCTTTCCTGTAATTTGTGGGAGTGATTTCGTGAAATGGGACGGAAGTGTGTAACAGGAAGTCGCAAAGGCGCGCGCTATTTGATTTGATTTTAGAACATAATGTTCAAATCGCTTATTTCTTTTGTAGTACGTTTTATTGATTTTTTAACTAATATAAGGTGAGGTTTCAAATGTAAACATCATACGCGACTACTGTAAGGTTAGCTCGTTTTTTTTGCTTTTGCATTGCTTATAACAATATTAAAGAAAATGAGCGTTAGGTATTGAAAACCTTCGGCGATATAGCCATCCAGTTATAGTACAGTCAATCTGTCGAAAAAAAAAACGTTTCAGTGAAAAAAAAACCTAAAGGGTAAGTCTTGTTTTTTCTGTTGCCAAATGACGTCAGTAAGCCACCTTGGCGATGGGCATATCAACTCGTAGGCGTTTTTTGAAAAACTCAAAAAAACCCTCAAAAATTTTTTGAAACGCATTTTTCTTGTTTTGTATGCATTTTAGAAACTTATGTCATTGTTGCAATCTCGTATAACAAAAAATAGCAGCATTTTACCTGAAATAAAATGCATATTAAAATACTTACCTCACTGAAAGCTTTATATTGAGATAGCACTTCCGTTTCCCGTCGAATTACCATCAGTTTCCGTACTTTTATTCACCTTGTATCCGGTCCAGTGGCGACACCTGGCAGAAGCGCGGCCATTTTTGTTTTCCTAAGTTTTGACAGCGCCATATTAACTCATTGGCTCAATTATTTCACCAGGCAGAATTTAAAGTGAAAGCTTTCAGTGAGGTAAGTATTTTAATATGCATTTTATTTCAGGTAAAATGCTGCTATTAAACTACTTGACCGTCACTGAAAGCTTTATATTGAGACCTGTTTGTTATCGCCTGGTGATCGCCACGTACATAGATATATACGCCAATGTGACAATTTATGATAAATTTAAATATTAACATTTATCAGATTATATGAAACTGTATAAAGAAACGAGTAAGCTTAAAAATGGATCAAATAATATTATTTGAATCACGCCTTTAATTTCTTCACGCTTACGAAGCTGCTTTAACATATGTATTAGCTGATCGCTAGATTCTTTTGCTTAAAACTCGAGAATTATATATATATATATATTTGCTTTGTTAATGACCGGACGCTTTCCTTGTGTAGCATTCATTTGTATCTTTGTATATCACAAATAAGGCGTACGAATGCGAGAAAAAGATGTAAAGTTGTTCGATACTGAGTCTTACATTTTACAATACTGTACTTTTTACTTAAGTACCAAAAATCAGGGTCCCACTTACGATTACCATTATTCGATACAAGTCACCAATCGGATTGTCTTTAACTACTTTCACCTGTTTTGAACCAAAACAAGGCTAAAAAAGATTCTTCGTCGGTACAAATACAATGATTCGGAATAATTTGAAGTAGGAACAAGTCATGTGTACCACATGCTGAACCAAATAATACGCAGCATAATTACTGTATGACGTTCAGAACAACAACTAGTATGACGAGGTATTTGAAACAGATTATTATGATATAACGAGTACATTATTGAAGAAAAGAAAATATTATTATGTGTTTGCCAAGACAGGTGAGCTTAGGTAATTAGACTTATCATCCATTGGTATATCATGTAAAAACTACCGACTTATTTAGAATAATGGTTAAGTACCATACAATACAAGTTCAAAATAAGTTTTGAGATAAGCCACGTGTTAAAATAAGTCTCAAATCGTGTTAGCTCAGAGCCGAGGCCACAACCTGCGGGATTATTCCGATAAACATTCTTGTTCCTAGACCAATGCAACCACGCAAGCCAGCGTTTCCGAGCCATCTCATAGCTGTTTAAAACAGAGCTGTCGCTCTTTGTAGAATATGATAAAAAGCGTAGTGCTAGCATATTTATTTGATTGGAGTGGAGATTGAAGTGAAGTGGTAGAGCCGTATTCTTCAACTATACTTGCCAAGCTTTCATATTAGATTGGCAAGAAGTGATTGCAAGGTCGATTGCAATGAATTTATAACTATTGTTAGAAGTAGGGAGTGGTTGATACAACCCCACGGAATGACAAACATGTTGAAACCGATCAACTTCTGAAGTTTTACGTTTTTACAACGAAATTCTCAGGTATAGTTTTTATATTGTTGCAGGGTTGCCGTGATAAATTATGCTATTACGAAGTTCAGACCAGATTTTATGAAATTCATTTGCCATCCTGGAATCTATAATTGATTGTAATTTTTCCTTTTGTTTTTCAGTTCTTAGATCTGAGTCATTTATATGTATTACTTAATACTAAATAAAGATTTAGTTATTTATAAGATTTACACAGCTTACATGAAGTGTGCATGTAGTATGCGTAGGGTTTGAAGTATATTTATTCCAGACAGTCGTGGCAAGGTTAGAGAGCGTAAGTTTAATATTAAGAACAGTTTTCAGTATTTTTTACTAAAAATAACATAAAGTGGATAATTGCATACAATGATCTTCAAAACCTTTCAAGAATTTGGTAGATCGTGCAATTTTTCTTCAGTACATAGCACCACTTATATATCAAAATGATCATGTTGGCCACCTCGGACACCTCATACACGACATTTCTAATTTTGCATGTTTCTCTCATTACCTCAAAAGAGTGAGCAACCCATTTGGTTTACTTTTGTTATTTTCAAGAGAAAATATGTTATCATCTATCTATCTGGCAGATAGTCCTTAAATTGCAGAAAACTTAGAATTCTTTACATAGTTATAGTGTACTGCACTTGAGATTGGAGCTTGATATATATTGGATTTAGATAAACAAGCTTTTGAATGGCATGCGACACCATTAAATTTATTTAAGAATTATTTGTGGTGCAACCAATTTATCAACTGTCCTGCATGAATTTTTTCAAACATTAATTGTTTCGATATTCCTTTTTCTTTTGAAATGTATTACAGCACGTCCTCGATAACTATATTACGGTAGAACAACCATAGTGATCGAGTCAACACTTCACACCAATGAGCCTAGCCTCATAATAGGCATTGAAAGACTTGTGTTATGGGCTAACGCATAGAAATGCATAATGATGATATTTGTTAACAACCAAGACTTAGGCACAGATGCTTGTTTTAATCATACAATGATTTGCCCCACCGGGGTGAACCCAAGACCTCGGAGTATGCGACACCTTTAAAACCACGTACATTGCACTTCACAACTGGGTACGTCAATATTCGATGTTCGATCTTTATAGTCTATTAGTAGTTAGAGGGTAGTTTATAGCTGATACTTATGTGTGTACGCAAACCATGAGCGGGTATGTTGCGTTGCGTCGATGTATGGATTTCCACGCGATGGAAGTAATGAATTATGTCAAGCGACATTTATTATATTTTCAATTTACTTATTTTTAATGTTTCGAATCGTTTACACTTTTACAGACCCCATGGTCACAAAAATAAATTATGAATCACGAATAGACTATATGTTAAATTATGCATAATTTGCTCCACTCGAGTGTCGTATGTTACCGGTGCTT